TCGACCGTGCAGTTAAAAACGGCAACTGGTGAAAGAATAAAAACGCACGGAGAAATACAAATGTCTGTCACCATCGGAAAGACCACCATCAATCACCAGGTGCTAATTGCTGATATTTCTGATAAATTCATCTTGGGGATGGATCTTCTTAAGAAACTCGGAGCTGTGTTAGACGTGAAAAAGGGCGTGTTAAAGGTCGGCGATGAAGAACTCCCTTTCCATGAAGACAAAGAAGATGTTATCCGCCTGTTAACCACTCATGACGTCATTATACCCGGACTTAGTGAAAAAATTATAATGGCCACTTTAGATGGATATTGTCGCCAGGGAAGCCTACGGATAGTCGAAGCACTAAACGAAAAGGAATTTCTAGTGGCTAGGGCTCTGGTAAAAGTTCAAAATGGCGTTCCGATTCGAATTATGAATTTGAAAGATAGTCCTGTTAAGCTAAGCAAACGAACTGTAGTTGGACAGTGTGTGCCCATCTCGGCTATTCGCTCTGTAAAATCGGAAAATCTATCTAAAGGAAAGTATCCAAGAGAGCTGATAGATATGGTCCTTAAAAACACCCCAGATTTGGACAATAGACAACGACAAAAGGTGAAAAATATGCTTGTGGAATTTCGGGATGTGTTCGCGGTAAACGACCAGGACAAGGGAAAGACAAGCATAGTCACCCATAAAATAAATACTGGCAATTCCCAACCGATTAGACAACAGCCAAGGCGACTCCCCTTGGCTAAACGAGACGAAGCGGAAGAGATTATTAGAGACATGAGAAAACAAGGTGTCATCGAGCCATCGAATAGTCCTTGGTCATCACCGATAGTGCTTGTAAAGAAGAAGGATGGCTCCACAAGATTTTGCGTTGACTACCGTTTGATAAATTCGGTCACCAAGAAAGATAGCTATCCACTGCCAAGAATAGACGACACCTTGGACACTTTATCTGGAGCCCAATGGTTTTCCACACTCGATCTAAAGAGGGGTTATTGGCAAGTGGGGATGGAATCGACAGACCGAGAGAAGACCGCGTTTTCTATAGGCTCTGGACTTTGGCAATTCACAGTAATGCCTTTCGGATTGTGTAATGCCCCCGCGACGTTTGAGAGACTTATGGGGACTAACGTGGCAGACATGTCTGGTATATTTGGATGATGTAATTGTCGTAGGAAAAACTTTTGAAGAACACCTAAAGAACCTGAGAGAGGTGTTTGGACGACTACGAGATGCCAATTTAAAACTAAGTCCCAAGAAATGCTTTATGTTCCAAAAAGAAGTTAAATATTTGGGGCACATCGTATCTCGTGATGGTGTTACAGCTGACCCAGAGAAGATTATAGTGATTCAAGAGTGGCCGATTCCTGAGAACAAGCACGAGATTCGAAGTTTCCTCGGTTTGTGCACCTATTATAGACGATTCGTGAAAGGATTTGCCAACATTGCCAAACCATTAATACAGTTGACAGAAGAGGGCAATGAGTACGAATGGAGTGAAGACTGTCAAAGAGCTTTCGAACATCTCCGGCAAGCTCTTACTAGCGCACCTATCCTTGGCTGCCCCAGAAATGAAGGAAAGTTTGTGCTAGATACCGATGCCAGTAACACCGCCATTGGAGCTGTTCTCTCTCAATTGCAAGACGGACAGGAAAGAGGCATTGCCTATTTCAGCAAAGTACTGTCGAAACCCGAGAGGAATTATTGTGTGACTAGGCGAGAGCTCCTGGGTGTGGTAAAGGCATGCGAACATTTCCATAAGTACCTTTCGGCCGCAAGTTCCTGATAAGGACAGATCATGCAGCGCTAAAGTGGCTCTTGCAGTTCCGAAACCCAGAAGGACAGGTGGCAAGATGGTTAGAACGTCTTCAGGAATATGATTACGACATTGAACACAGGGCTGGAAAAGTTCACAATAATGCAGACGCTTTGTCAAGAAGACCGTGCAAGGACAACTGCACACATTGTTCTAAAATAGAAGACAAGATGGGCCATCTGCGGCGAACAACTGTAGAGAGTGAGGAATGGAAGCCAAGCGAAATCAAAACGGCCCAAGAAAACGACCCAAGTTTAAAAACTGTTCTGAATTGGATGCGCCACGGACAAAGACCAGACTGGCAAGACATTAGTGCCACAAGTCCTGAAGTA